GTAAATTAATATGTTATATTTACTATCAAAATAAACTCAACAATTATTTCTTATATTTGGAGGGAAGCATAGGAGGAGAAGATTATTTTCCAAAATTTGCTTCTCTGCAGAAGCTATCCATGACGAGGGAAGCCAGATCAGTGAGCGGAAGACACAAGAAATTCCAAACTCAAATCATCCAGAAGGACCTTCACAGGAAACAGCGTAACGTTGTCATCTGCAGAAACAAAACAAGGCAAATCATATGAAAGAAACATAAAAGAAAAATGAACAGAGCATCGTAATAGGAAACAACAAAAGATCTTAAGCCCCGCCTGCTCTATCTTAAACCCTGTTAGCTATGTTCCAGAATCCTCCACGTTTAAGCATCGTCTGGCCACAATGTCGCCACCATCCCATCCAAAAACATGATAAATGGATAATTCTCACAACCCCAACTAAATATGAGTTAAAAATATAAGAAGAATTTTATCTTACAAAATATAAAAGTGTTTTTTTTTTGTCAAGATTCTTACACATATTTCTTATACTCCCTCTGATCATTAATATAAGAACTCGTTTGATTTTTATTTTGTTTTAAATATAAGATTCTAATCTACTTTGTCTTTTATATTTATTTTTTTATAAAGTAATCCTTGCAATAATAGTAATTCTAGCCAATACACTTGACTAGCAAAGATATTTTAAGAAAAACGACATTTATTTATTACAAATAACTAACATAACTAATTTTTTTAATCCACTCAAATTAGTCAACTAGCTCTTATATCAAAGACCAGAAGTAGTATATTACCTGTATTCTTAGCTAATGGATGGGTCGGATTCAGTCTTAAATATAGAACATAAATTCATTTTATCTTTTAAATTTGTATTTTTCCCCCCTTAAAAACGCCTCTATTGATTGTAAATGGTTCTCAGCAAGGGATTACAATGCATATATCAAAAAGAATAATTTAGAAAAGTCAATACTTATTTATTACAAATAACCAATTTAACTAATTTTTTAATACCCCATTATTAGCTCTTAACCCTAAATTTAGCTTGTCAAGTGAGCTCCGTCATATGAGTTTATGATGTCATTAATCAGATTTTATCCACATCTCAATCCACTGTAAAATGCGGTTGATGTTAATTTTATTGTCAAAGGTTGTTGTGCATATAGGAAATCGGGAGACCAATCCGCCATGGCCACTTCAAGTCCTTATCTTTGGATGCTTATTATTGGGTTCATCAGAAGCTTATGGAGTGCCCTAGAAATGAACCCTAATCCCGTCTCTCCAACGTGCTCACAACAGTTAGCCCCTTCCTCCTTTTAGCGCATGCAAAACAATAGTAGTTTTGAGAATATCTGGCTTTAGTAACCGACAACATTTTAAGCAATAAAAGAACATGTTTAGATAAAAAAAAAGGAATAATATCAAAAAATTACAACATGTTTAAAGGAATATAATTATAAAAAATACATTCAATATAATAAATAATAATAAGTTCATACTACTCACTTATTATTAGCACTTTTTCATAATTATATTATTTTCTTGTGATCTCATAATAATTTTCCTGAAACAATATTTTTACAACAGGATTTTCTTTTTCGTTGGTGACAATATAATAGAGATGATGTAAAATGGATAACCAGTGAAAATTTTATAAATGAGATGTAGATTCATCGATTTTTCACCTGCACAAGACAGCCAATATAAAAAGAAAAAAGTAAAGAATTTGGGTCAATATAATTTGTAATCTCTAAGGTTTGTTCTCATTTTGGTCTCAAACCACAGGTTTTTGCCCATTAAATTTTTTTTATTTAAAACATCAACCATTAGAATTTAATAAAAATTTGTACCATTTTGTCTATTGAGAGACTAAAATCTGTGATTTGAAATTTGAAAGACCAAAATCAAAATGAAAATAAACTAAAAGGATTAAAGATTATATAACCTGAAGATTTTTTTTGTCTTATTAACCTTTTCTGCATTGGTTGAAAGTCTTTCTCAATATCGATTTAAAAACCGATACAAAAAGTTTTTTTTTCCCAATATGGTATAAAAAGTTCTAGACTTTCCGTGATTGACTTTATACAGGATATATAGAACGAGTACACAAATTCTTTTTTAATTGTTTTAAAAAGACTTTTTAATGCTAGTGTACGCTTTTTTCTTTTATAAATTGTTAATAGATGAGTTAGATAACTAATTTAGAGAGATTAAAAAAATTAATTTAGTTAGTTATATATCAAATGTATTTTGACTTCATTGTACATTAGAACTATTCAATAGGGATATTTTTTAGAACACATTATAAATCTTAAAAACAAAATAAATTTAGGTTTTATGTTTAGGATAGAAGATAGTGCATATATAATTTAAATATAAATAATACTACCTCCGGTCCTTAATATAAGACCCCGTTTGACTTTAGTTTGGTCCTAATTATAAGACCCCAATCCATTTTGTCTCTCATATTTATGCATTTTTTCCCAAGATAATCCTTCTAATAATGATAGTTCTAACCAACACACTTAATTAGTAAGGATATTTTAGGAATGACAACACTTATTTGTTACAAATAACTAACTTAACTTACTTCCTTAATCTCCTCAAATTAGTCAATTGGGTCTTATAATTAGAACCGGAGGTAGTATATGATATTGAGAAATTTTATATTATAGATTGATGTGTGTGTGTGTGTGTGTGACTAATACCCCTCTTTTATCTTTTTGGTTTTTTTATGAACACCACCGCCCTTTATAAAAGTACATACATAGATTACATACATACGGAGAGATGTGACAATAATATTTTGTGTCAGAATACGATACTTCAATTTTCACCTTGCAACCAAAAATCACATTTAAAAAAAAAAAGACCAAATTTATTTAATACTCCTCCGGTCTTTAATATAAGACCCATTTAACTAATTTGATTAGATTAAGGAAGTTAGGTAAGTTAGTTAATTGTAATAAATATGACACGTTTTTCTTAAAACATCATAATCATCTTTCTCAATACCCCATCTCCCTCTTCTACTTGATTATGGTTGAGGGAATATTCATAGGGGTAATTTAGAGATTATTGATAAATATGAGAAATGGGTCTTATATTTAGGATAAAAATCAACTCAAGAATTGGATTCTATATTAAAGACAGGAGGAGTAATTAATAAAAAGTAGTCATACGGTGAAGGAAAACACTCTTTCCAGCGTAACAAATGAAACTTGCCGTGCTCCATTGTCTATTCCGTGATAAGAGCGAACACCAATATTTATATATACAAGGCATAAAAATGTCCCCCCCCCCCCCAAAAAAAAACACATTAGGAACATATACATATAATCAAAACAGATATTAAATTATTGATGTTTAATTTGCTGTTCAAACTTAACATTATGTATAGTACACATCAAAGAGACCAAATCTGCAACTTGGCACCGCGGGGGAACCTTCTTGTGTTTTTGTTGCATTTTTCCCTTCTTAAAGAAAAGGACAATCACGTGGCATATATATTAAATTAATATAAATATTTTCCTAAAGCGGCTTTTTTTTAATAAAGTATATTGTGAGACACTAAATGTAAACAACTCTTATTGATTTGCCTGGAAAAGCTGTTTTACTTTTATAAAGTTATTAGACTCAATTAGTTTTAATTATTAATTGACATTGTTAGAAGCAATATCCTCATGGATGCCAGATAGACAATAGTAAATCGCTCAGATTAATCATAAGTGGAATATAGGGACACACTCCTTAAAAAGAATATTATTATATTTCGACGGCTTCAAGGCTAGAAATTTCCCAATGTGATTCATGCCTCTCACATAATTCCAATTCAATATTCAAAAAGAGGCCCCCCTACGAAATAACCTCTTCATCCATCTCTCTAATCATTTGCATTATTTTGTTAATTAATTGGACAAGAAGCAAAAACGCCAACATTTTTGAATCTATGCAGTTGATTTGCCTCCCAAGACAAGTTACCCCCAACTTTCTCTAATTGAAGCATCTTTGGATGAGTGGACTTTGGGAAAAACTACAAGTAAATTTTACAATTTTGCTCTCTAGCACTTAGTACAAAAAATATTTGTCTCAAAAAGTGATTAGGGATGTAATATTTTAACTCAAATCTCATAAATATAGACCCCTAATTTCAAACTTACCAGATTCAAACATTAAAAAGAAAATTGTTCAAAAATTAGTTTAGATAAGTAGAGAAAGAGGAGATATCTTCTTAAAAATTGGATCGGACAAATTGGAGGCTTATACATATATATATATATATATATGTATATATACTCTTCCAGTCTTAAATATAAGACCTATTTTGTAGTGTAAATAGGGATGCTAAGCTCCTTCTGAAAGCAGAGATATTGCAGTATAAAAGTAGTGATGTACTTTGTTAATTTAACTATATTCAGTCAATTTTCAAATATTTTTTTAATTAAAAGGACAAATATTAACCTGCTGTTACAAGCGATTGAATCCGCAGCTTTTCATTTATAAGAGAATATCAATGTCAGTAGGCTATGAGGTGCTCTACAATTCTCCAATGAATTGGGTAGATCCATATCCCCTAGAAACGTAGCAAGCCCATGGCATAAAACTACGATGCAGGGATGAATACAGCCCATTACTGCTACATTTGGGTATGTTGGTCCCATCTCCAAGAATGGGCTACCTCCGCTCTAGCCCATAACCAAGCATTGTGATCCGAGCAGTTTTCTATAGAACCAAGTTTTGCAAAGCTGCGAGGAGTCGTTACTGTTTTGTATTAAGGTCCTGAGGTAATACATGAGAACATGAAAAGTGTAATTATGAGGCTACAAGCACAAATTGCTTCATCCCCCAAGAGAGACTAAAAGAATGATCTTGATGAGATCCAAACAAAGCAAGTGCAGAACTCTGATTTAGGCAAAATCATATTCCAAAGAAAGATTACAACTATTTCCAACGACTTGGATAAAAAGGGATTCCAAGTTTCAGTGCAATGGTCATCACATCAGAGAGACAAAATTGAACTCAAATGTGACAGGATAATGGTCATGAATAATACATGAATCAATAAATCATATGCTGAACGCCTTTATTCAAATTAAAGAATACTGTCACCTAAAGGATTGTAAATAACTCTTAACACAACAAAGATGAAGTATGAACACAATGAGAGAAGACAACCTAGGACAAAAGAATATTGACAAATAAGGGGAAAAAAGCAACCTCTGTATGTTCAGAAAATAATGTCCTCATCTCTAGCTGTTGTTGCAGACAACAAATTGTGGGCTGAATTCAATGAAATTCCTCTCTGCAGCGCCAGCTTCTCAGCAAACTGTTCCTCTGCAAAATTCTCAGCTGATGCCATTTGCTTCTCTATTTCTCTCTTCTTATAGCCCTGTATCTTCTTCAACCTAAAGAAGTCCTCTCTTTCAAGTTCATCCAACTCTCCCTTAATATAACTAATGGTATTCTCTATTCTAGGCTTCACCACATTCTCAAGCGCATTCACTCTTCGATTTGTGGTCTTGATTGCCTCATCGAGGGTCAAGAACGAGGTCTGAAGTGAAGCAAGCTCAACAAGAACTTCAATGGCCTTTATATAAGCAGCACGACAACTCTGAACTTGCTGGCCACCTCTTGCTAAACCTGTAAGATCATTCTTAGTGATGTCACCATCCTTTGTGTATTCAAATTTCGGGAGTTTAACACCAGCCACATTCTCTTGTCGAGAGCGAACCTTGAGGGAAGCTTCTCGAACATTCTCGAGCACAAAGTGCTTGATGTTATCACCAGCAACGTACTTGGCCTCTGTTAAAGCAAAAGAAGAGCCCTTCATGATTTCCCCCATTGATTCCTTTGTTGACACTATCTTCTTCAGGATCTGACGGAACTGTACCGTCAAGGCGTCGCTCTTCTTCTTGAGAAGAGCATGGCCTCGCGTAGCTCCCACCAGTCGAGCTTTCATGACTCCAAGCATTGTCACGGTAGGGACCACGTTAAGACGTTGATTTTGGCCCGACATTTTTTTTCCTGAAGATCAAATCCAGATATTGACATGGAGAAGTTATCGGAATTTTCATGGGAGCCAAACGGAATCAAAGTTAGAGTTCGAATGAGGTTTGATCTTCACTAAGAGCAACAACACAACACAGTATGAGAAAGTACACTAAAAACAAAGGAACTCCGCAGTGAGACCAGAGAACAGATACTGCGTCCGAATATATATATATGTAAGGTCAAATCAATGAATCAAATTTTACAGTTACATCGTGGCAATGCAACAGAAATTCACAGCAGAATCGCCAGATGCAGATTGGTGTCATTGTAATAAACGAGAAAAATCGAGCGAATTCCGCTTAGAGAGAAGAGAGAGAGAGAGACAAGAAGCTTGCCGATCGGAGATCGAGAACGCAAAAAGAACAGGGCAAGAAGAAAGACGAGGGGGAGGAGAGAGGGGGGACGGGGGTATCAGGCGGGTTGACCCAGATCATCAATATTTTTTATTTTTTTAATTCGCATTTGGGCTCCGATTGGGCTCAATCGTCTTATTGGGCCAAGACAATCACATTTAAACAAATCTACCGGTAACGCGCTCATTAAGATCCCATTAATTAATTATTGTTGGGAGAGGTATTTATGTTTACTCTCCAACAATATCTCAAATAGAATTATTTCTAATAAAAATAATACTACATGTGTATTAACAAAAAGGAAGATATCACCAGTTGAGCTCTCTTACAAATGAGAAATATAAAAAGATTGGCCATTAACAAAAAGGAACATTTACTTGGAGGTCATGATAAGTTGCACTGTCACCTTGTGTGGATATTAGGAAATATATTCTATTATCGCGTTGATATTTAAATTGACCTTTTCTTTTGGTAGTATTTGTTTAAAAAGGTTGAATTTAATTTTGGGGTATGATTAATAAGTATGATTTTGATAAATTTAAGGGCTAAGTATTCCGTTAAAGCTGGAAAGGTCATCAGGACAAAACAAGAGCCGAAGGAAAACAAAATCACACGCGAAACATGAAAACCAAAGCGACAACACAAAGGCACCCCGTGAACCATGAAACCCAAAGCGACAGCACAAAGGCACCCCGTGACCATGAGGAAAGCAACGGATATGTAATTATTGAAATAATTGTTGGAGACTCGAATGGTGGATATGCAAGCATGATAACTTTTATACTGTTCTATATCTTCATGAATCTAGGAACTTATGCTTGCATTGTATCATTTGGTTTGCGTACCGAAACTGTTAACATTTGAGATCATGTAGGATTATATATGAAAGATCTTTTTTTGCTCTCTCTTTAGCCCTATGTCTCTTATCCTTAGGAGGTCTTCCTCCGCTAGCAGGTTTTTTCAGAAAATTTCATTTATTCTAGTGTGGATGGCAGGCAAGCCATACTACTTTTGAATTCTGATCCTAATTATAAGATTTTATTTGTAGTTTACAGAATCAGAAAGGACTAGAGGTGGTATTAAAGAGGAAGACATGTAAAGCAAATGACTTTGGGTACTTATTATCAACAGAATCAGATCTATTATGTCCAGATCTGATTTCAACCATTCAAATCTCCTTTTTTTTTTGAAAAAAAAATAATTATTTTAATAGGAATGTGATTTAAAATAAAAATGTTTTCTTACTTAACCGTCCAAATGTCATATTTTCACTTGCAATTTTTAGGATGATCCCATAAGCTCCACATGTAGCAACATTGATCAATAAGCTGTTGCCAAACCAAAAAATCATATCATAATATCATCTCTAATCCTAAATATAATATTTAATTTATAGTACAAATTATACTGTAAATTATATTTTATATTTAAGATTAGAAGTAATACGAGTACTAATTAACAATGACTCCCACTGCGGCTAACCACGAAAACAAACAAACAAATCTACGGCTGATATCCACAGACAAACCCATCGAACTTTTGAGCTAATGAAATATTTTGGCAACAATTACGATATTCAATGAAACAATCACATATAGTGGAGCCCAAAATAATTAATTAAACTCACGCCAACCTTAAGTGGCCAAATTAAAGCCGTACACCGACTAAATGCCTTATATATATATATTAATTAAACAATAATATTGTCAGCACTTATATCAGCAATCACGGTCATAATTCATAAACCAGGGGCTTATTATATTGCTTTAATTAGCACACATAAATCGAAATTAATTAACTAATTAAAAAAAATTCAAAAGCTTTGGCCTTTCATATGTTGCAAATTTATAATAACAATAAAGCCTTGATAAATTTCCAAAAATGGAAGCATATAAGGTTACTGGCTTATGAATAGATTTGTATAAGCAAAATGAAGAGGAGAGGCAAAACAAAAGGTTGATTATTCTTAAAGTAACCTAAATGTCACATGAGCCAAAATATGAGAGAGAGAGAGAGAGAGAGAGAGAGTAATAACTAAAAAGGAAGACTAAAGACTTCATTATCGTTAGATAAAGATGATAAGACGTAAATAAAGTGTTTATAGAATTAAACGTGTTGCACGGGGGGCCGACAAAGAAAGTGACGGAGATAATTATGAGTTTTTTTTTTTTTTTTGGAATTTGGTCATAAGGAAGTCAATCCCTCGTGCTTCTTTTTTTGTCTGGTTTTGTGGCATGCTTTTGAATTCTGGGGTTGTTGCATTCCGTATTTGAAAGCGCTGAACAAGTGAATTTTAATAAAAAAAAATTGACTAATTTAAATAGATTAAAAAATTAATTAAATTCATTATTTATAATAAATATGTGTTGTTTTTTTTAAAATATTTTTACTAATCCAGTGTCATTTAATGAAATATTTAACATGTATAACTATTAAAAGGATTATTTAAAAAATAAATAAATATGATGTATTATATTTAAATCAAATTAAAAATTAAACAAATTTTTATATTAAAAACAGGAGGTGGTAATATATTATGTGAATTTTATTAATTGAGGGTGTGTCCACGGGCCATCACATTTTACAAAGTCAAGCTGCCACTCATCAACTACTTCTATACACTTAAATCACGTCAAATTTTGAAGGAAGACCAATCCCAGTCCCACCACCATATCAATCATACATTCTTATCTCTCTCTCTCTCCTTTTTTTAATAAGATCCTTTCAATTTAATAATATATAATTTGAAAAAAAGGTTGTTAAAACTAACCATTTTTTTCAAAAATTATTTTAACATTTCAAAACTACAATCACAACATCATTGAAAAGAGAAAACGAGAGGAGAATTTGCGTATGCGAAGGTACTTATTGTAAAAAGGCATATAAAGTAAACGGTTTGTTAATGGGATTAATTAACACTGGTCAAAATTAATTGGACGTAGACAGGAATTAATCAAAAGCTAGCTAGCTATATGCATGCATTCTTCTACCCAATGGTAGCTTAATTTCTTACCTTTTTCTCAGCGGTTTTACCTAATTAATTAATATTAATTCCAGTTCCATTCACGTGGTTGAATGCATTTGAGAATTAGTACGTGTGCTATATATGTTAGACTATAATAAGGTTCTACATGCATGCATCCATGCCTTGAATCTTGTACCTGCGATATTACCACTTGTAATACAAGATTATGATATTTTAATTGGAATTTTAATATTTGATATGACTAAATTTTAAAAGCTGTCCATGATTGTAAATATTGAAATATTAAGTGTGGATATGTACACAAACTTTCATGTATAAAATTATCCTTTAAAATTCTCCATTTAAAACTACATAATATAAGATGGCTTCTCGTGGAAATTTTATAAAGCCGATAACATAAGCTCCAAATATTATATACAATCAAGGAGCATTTATGTTTTCTTTGTTGTGACTCTAGTAATAGAATTTAAGGATTTTTAGCCTATAGATGGTTAATTACTTTTGATACAAATTTCAATATTTGGACCGGCAATAAGTTCCACCCTGCCTCCAGTTCAATTGGTGTGTGGCTTACGTCAAGACTTGAATCTCTATTGCCCTATGTATATTACTACCGGTCTTTAATATAAAAGCTAGTTTGACATATAATTTGGTCTTAAATATAATATCTCAATCTACTTTGTCTCTATAGCAGTTACATATGTTAACCAGTTGCTATTATTGGGTAATTCAAATAGATGTGATTAATAAGAGTATTTTAAGAAAAAAATCTATTTATTATAAATAACTAATTTAACTAATTTTTTAAATATCTCTAAATTAGTTAAATAGATCTTATATTAAGAACTGGAAGTAATGTACCGTTAAAACAAGAGTAAAAAATTCTTTTTTTAGGTGAACAAAGTAAAGACTCAAGTAATACTATGATTCCATATAAACTTTTAGGTGAGACTCAAATCAAAACTAATAAAGACTATAAAGATTGGGTTATTAGTTTTCCCAAAATAATTCTACAAGGATAGATCAAATTTTTTTGATCTAAACTTTGTTTCATCACCGTTTTCGAACCTAAATGACATCAAACACATCCTTTTATGTTATGACGAAAAATAAGTTTTAAGCATGATAACATAAATTTGAATTCTTCGTAAAAATACAATAAATATGTGTTATGACGGAAAAAAAAGTTAAATTTTACTAGACATGTGTTTTTTTAATTTATTTAAAAGAGTTAAATAGTTGAATAAGGGTCGCGAAATAATACATCATGCATGATGAAAGAAGAGAGGGAAAAGTAGAACGTTTGACACGCGCGTGGCTGAATATGCTCGTGCGGCTTGGGTCTGTTGACTGTTCCATTTCTTCAGAGAAGACCGCTTCTCATTTTCTCAACAGCTCTATTTCCGGGGATCTCTTGGCCCCCTCTTCTCCCTGTTCCTTCTTCGGCTTGTTTTTGTTTTTTTTTTTTTTCTATCTTCATTTTTGTTAAAAAAATCATCATTTTTCTCCATATATCATTATTATTTGAGTTTTTGCGTCAACTAAGCAAATATTTCTTTATTTTCATCAACATGTAATAATCCCGTGAATAATTAATTTTTACTTCAAAAGTGGGCAAAAAATTAAATTTTTTTAACAAAAAAAAATTAAATTTAACATATTGGCAATTGTAACAAATTAATCCATGTGTTTTTATACTACCTCCG